AAAGTACATCAACAAAAGAGAAACAATCCAATTAAAAAGGGCAAAAGACTTTAACAGGCCACAGAACAATATATACAAATATGAAAAGTCACTCAATACCATTAATTACTGGAAAATGAAAATGAAATCTACAATGACCTACCATTTCATCCTATTAGAATGACTCAATTAAAAAATAAAAGACTGACTACACTAAGTATTGGCACTGGTAGGAGTGTAAAATTATACAATCCCTTTTGTGTACTATTTGAAAGTTTCTAGTAGAGTTAAACACATATTCTATGATGACTTGAAAATTCCAATGCAAGATATACAATACTAATCTAGTGAGGGAATAAAAAAGTGGTTGCTTAGAGTGGGCATGAAAATTGATTGAAACATAACATAAGTAAACTTTCCTGGATGATGGACATGTTTTACAATTACTTTTGGCTGCTGGTTATATGGCTGTATACAATTGTGAAAACTCACCAAACTAAACAATTAAGTGTAAAAATAACCCATAATTTAGAACAAAAACGTCAGACAAAACACTCTATACTTTCATTCAGATACATTCCAAGTAGAAACAAAACGAAGCTATAGTTTATAGGGATGCATTCTCAAAATTATGAAAATGGAGCAGGGTCCTAATTACCATAAAAGGCAAAAAAGAAGCTATCCCCAGAGTAAAAAGAGGTGGCATTGAGTGGGCTGTGAGGACCGATGGCCGGGGGGTTTATAATAATGACAGTATTCTACTTCCTGATTTGGATGGCAGTTACATAAGTGTTTCCCTTCGAATAATTTAATAATGTGTTAATTTTCATTATGCACTTTCCTTTATGAATATTTTACAAATAAAAAAATGTGAAGGCTTTTTACTTTATTGTGAACACACATATACAAATATGTGCTCTCACAGTAAATAGTACTGAGAAACCCATTCTTTCAGCTCTTAATATGAGTGCATATCACAACTGGCTGGAGGAGATACAGAATGTGGAAAAACAAAACCCACATAATCCTCAAATTAAAAAATCCTAAGAGGCTGTTTTAAAATGAGAAAACCAAGATTCAGAAGATTAAATGATTCACATAATTACTCTCCATTGACATTTTTATATATGCTTGTAAAAGTATGCAGATGAAAAACAAAAATGAAAATGTGAGAGAAAAGAAAAATGTTCTTGTTGATATAAACAAATAAAACATATAGTCTATTTTATGTTTTGCATAAACCCTGAAAGGTCACAAAGACTGGTTCTGTGGCAAAATAAATACCTGAGAAGCCACAGAGAGATGAAATCTCTTCTGTATACAAACAAGTATGGCTGTACTTTTTTTCCCTCTTTTTACAAAGAAAAATAAACCCAATGTAAAAACTGAAAAAAAAGTATGTAAATGCAACATAATTATGTTTAAACCACAGAAGAGAGGAAATTTAGAGTTACAGATTCCATGGTAAGTTTTAATTCTATCCTTGTGTATATGAAAGAGTCTTTCATTACACAATCACATAACACTAGGCCATGTAACAATCAGTCCAACGAATGTTTACTTTACAACGTGTGGAAGGAAAATATTTTATAAGAGAAATTGTAGGAAATTAGTATATTATTTATGTAAATTGTTAGGTAATGCTTCTTAGAATCCTGGGCATTTGCAAAATATTAATAAAAATACCTGTTCCTTAATATCCTTGATCTAAAGAACATTAAATTTGGAGGATAGCTTAAGCCCAGGAGTTAAGCTGCAGTGACCCCTCATCATGCCACTGCACTTTAGCCTAGGTAACAGAGTGAGACCCCACCTCCAATGAGAAAAAAAAAGGAACATGAAATTTATAGGCAGGCACTTACTTATGCTGAAAGCAAAACTTTAAATTTTAAGGCTATTTTGGAGTATTGGAAAATTTAGAGCATTAGACTTTTAGTATGTTTTGAATCATGTATACCGGGTAATTTGTATAAAAAAATAGTAGAGACTGAGTAACTCATGAAGTTCCATGAATTCAAATAATTTAAAAAACCCACAACAGTCCTTATCAGTCTTGGAGTTTGCTGGTATTCCTGACAACTCATATATCTATATATAAATATATAAATGAATTTTTTTTAAAAAAAGAAGGAATGAATTACTTATCCTGCCTTATTCGTATGAGTTGTATTTCAGCTTAACAAACAGCAATTAATTCTGAGATAAACCTAGCAAAATTATTACATTACAAAGATAAAGAAAACATCCCCAGACCAAAAAAGAAATCAAGTAATTTACAAAGGCAAAATAATTAGATTAGACTTTTCAAAAACATGTTATGAAGCAAGGCAATGGAGCAGTATTTTTCTTTTTAATTTAATGAAAGAATGTGGGAATCAAGAATTTTAGGCCAGGCACGGTGGCTCATGTCTGCAATCCTAGTACTTTGGGAGGCCAAGGAGTCTGGATCATTTGAGCTCAGGGGCTTGAGACCAGCATGGGCAACGGGGCAAAACCCTGTCTCTATAAAAACTACAAAAAGTAGCTGGGCTGGGTGGCATGAGCCTGTAGTCTCAGCTACTTGGTAGGCTGAGGTGGGAGGATCACTCAAGCTCAGGAGGTTGAAGCTGCAGTTCCACTGCATTCCAGCCTGGGTGACAGAGTGAGGCTCTGACAAAAAAAATAGGAAAAGAAACAACAATAATAAAAGAACTTTATATCTAGCAAGGTTGTCCATTGAGCATTTTGGGAAAGTTTTAACATGTAAGAATTTAGGGAATTCTGCACCCATGAGTGCTTTTTGAAGATTCTCCTAGAGGGTGAGCTCCAAACTAAAAGAAGACTATAGAACATAAGCTAATTGAATCATAAGTACATAGATCATATAGACAAATATATATGTAACTGTTGATCTATGTTTGAAACAAAGGCAGGGTCAATGGTGGAATAATAATGTTTGATGTTATGTAAAACAAAACAGAAATAGTGCACTTTAAAATTGGGAGGAAAAGAGAGAAAAAGAAAAATAGAATGATCCCATTGATTTTCATACAGGCAATAGGTGAGAATGAAAAGAAATCAACAAAAACCGAGAAACTAAATAGTGAATGGGCTGGGCATGGTGGCTCATGCCTATAATCCCAGCACTTTGGAAGGCTGAGGTGAGTGGATCACTTGAGGTCAGGAGTTCAAGACCACTCTGGCCAACATGGTGAAACCCTTTCTCTACTTAGCTGGGCATGGTGGCAAGTGCCTGTAATCCCAGCTAGAATGGTGACTGAGGCAGAAGAATCATTTGAATCCAGGAGGGAGAGGTTACAGTAAGCCAAGATCACACTTTGCACTCCAGCCTGGGTGACAAAGGGAGACTCTGTTTCAAAAAAAAAAAAGGAAAAGGAAAAAAAATTAAAAATGCAAACCTTTCTAAAGAACAGGAAATTAAAGAGCAAGCAATAAAAAAATTAAGGAACAAAGACTGCAAATCTTATAGCAAAATATAATTATAAAATATGACATCATTGAAACTAAACATTATTCATATCAATGAATGTGAATAGGTTTAATTCACCAAAATAAAAACTATATTTTTAATTGGCTCACAAAGCAAGACCCAATTTATATACTGCGTGCAAGGGCATATCTAAAACAATGCAATTCAGAAAGACTAAAAAGGGGTAGATTGTGATATACAAGCAAATGGAAACAATAAGAAAGCAGGGATAAAGATTCTGTTATCAGACAAAGTAGATATCAAGCCAAAACACATTAAACATGACCAAGAACAGCCCTTGAAATATCTAAAGCCATAATTTATAACCATTAGAAACATTTATGCACCAAATAGTACAGCACCTACTGCATAAGATGTAAAAAGACTTAGATAAAAGTGCACTAATAATAAGAATTTTTTAATACAGCAGTTAAAGCACAAAAAAGATCAAGTTCACACAAAATAATAAGATGAAAGACATAGATTATATAAAGAAGATCTAGAGAATAAACATCAAACTCTGCACTTTGTTGATAAAGAATCCCAAGCACTGGCAGGGCACGGTGGACTCACATCTGTAATCTCAGCGCTTTGAGAAGCCAAGGTGGGAGAATCACTTGAGGACAGGAGTTCAAGATTAGCCTGGACAATGGAGTAAGACTGCATCTCTACAAAAAATTTTAGAAATTAGCTGGATGTCGTGGCACACACCTGTAGTCTTAGCTACTTGGGAGGCTGAGGTGGTAGGATTGCTTGGTCCAGCAGTTCAAGGCTGCAGTAAGCTATGATTACACCACTGCATTCCAGGTGACAGAGAGAGATGCTGTCGAAACAAATGAATGAATGAAAGAAGAGAAAGAAAAGAAAGAAAAAGAAAAGAAACAAAAGAAAGAAAAGAGAATGACAGAAAGAGAAAAAAAAGAAAGAAAAGGTATCCCAGTACCCATAAAACACACACACACACACACATATATATATATAGAGAGAGGAGAGAGAGAGAACAATATTATTTATTTAAGAACAATAGAACAAAATATTTATATATATATTTTTTGTTCTCTTGTTTTTAAATTGTCTTTTCTTCCTAATTAGACAATAAGGAGTAACACCAACACTTAAAATCCTTGTCTCTTCCCTTCATCAGTTCACAGTTCTTGCTAGGTGCTCAAAATACATTTGCTGAATAGGTGAGAAACAAGAAGACTATTATGAGAATGTGCCTGGAACTCTCTAGAAGCCTAGTTAGATAGATGTATAATACTTCCCTAGGAGACAGAGAAAAGTGTTGATTGAATAAAGGTTTCCCCCTGGGAAATTGATTACTATGTATTGTAAATCCTTCCAATATGCCCAACTTAGCCTTTCATCTCATATAAGGTAACATTTTGGCTCTGTAAGTCATGATTTAATAAATTTATGATTATTTATATGACACATTGTATTTTTTCATCATTTGTGCACATCAATTATAAATGATGACACTCTTCTGTGACCTCCCAAATGTTTTCCCTAACACTTATATAAAACTCTTTCCACTTCCAGGGCCACTTACATCATACTTTCAGGTTCTACTGCACAAGCACCAACCACTTTTGTAACATTCACAAGAAGAGCTTGGTTTATTCCAACAAGGAGGTTCACAAGTGGTTGAATGCCACCACATTTCCGGATAATGACTCGGTTTTCAAGTTCTTGGCAGCATTCTCCCAAGGCCCCAACCACATTCACAAGTACTTCTTCAGGCTGATCTGTTAAAAGTCCCACCAAGGTTTCAATGGCTTTATATTCCCGAAACCTAAGTTCATCATAAGAAAGACAGAGAGAGAATTGTGTTTTGTATAAGGTTAGCTAAAAATCACTAAACATTCATTCAATCCTTACAACAACCCAATGATGCAGATATTATTCAATCCCCATTATTGGATGGCTAATCTGAAGCTCGGTATATAGTAGAGCTGACGTCTACACCCAGCCATCTGCTCCAGACCTTCGCCATCAATCACCATGCAGTACAGTCTCTAAGAAAACCACAGCTTCTTCTAAATCTGAGTGTCCACTTTGCTAGGGCTTTTCCCCCTATCTTACAGAGACGACTTTACCTGAATGAAGTCTTCTAAATGTTTCATAAAGATAAATTATATGTTATATATTTTTGTTTTTAAACACATCAAATATGGCTCTATTGTACCTATTTGGGTTTAGTTGGTTTCTTAAAAGGAGTAGTAGCTTGTGCTACTTAGATTTTTATAAAAAGTCACTCTTGGTATCTTCCATATTAACCACTAATACATTTGAGCATCTCTCTTGTTATAAAATTTCACTCTGATATATATATATATGTATACACACACACACACATATATATATACATATATATGTGTATGCATATGTGTGCATATATACACACACATGTATGTATATATATACACACACAAATACACACACACACCCCCAAAGGAAGCATGCTACATAAAGGTAGATATTTGAAAATTACTAGTTTCTATACAGAACATTTTTCCCTTTCTAATACATTTCAGCACTATTAAGTACTATGATGCAGCTGAGATTTTAATTAAGATAAAAGTTCCATTAGCTGAGGTTACTTTTAAGCTAGCCATGACTTCACTTTGCCTTCTTTGTTAAGTAAACATTTGGTGTTAAATGGTCAAAGATGTGAATTTCTTGTTAAAGGCAATAATCAGATGGAGTCAAGGAGAAATTGCCTCAGAATACCCAACACTGAGAATGGAAACTCTTAAAAAATATGAAGAGATAGATTTGAAAATTAAGATAAATCAAATGATTGTAAAGTTTATAAATACTTTAAAATAAAATTCAACCATATTTTAAAATGACCACTCTTTAAAGAGTAACTGGTTAGTTGACATTTAGCTGATTCATCTTGTTTCTCTTTAGAAAAGAAAAAAGATTCCCACCTCTAAAGATTCCATGGGAAATCCACTCAATCACCTTGATAGGTCCCCATGGAAAATATCAGAGATATTTCTAATTCAAATGGCTGCCCATATGCAAATTAGAGAGATCATGTCAGCAAGCCTCTTAGTGCCACTGAGGCACAGAAAAAGTCATTACCAGGTAGTGGGCAATTTCTATTCTATTCTATCCTATCCTAAGAATCCCATCATTCAGCTAACTTCATCCAGAATGTACATCTACCACTAACATTAGAATCGACTCCTTACTAGAATGGCATTAAATGACAAGAAGGTGTTTCAGAAGCCATATCTTCATTTCAGAATATTGAGCTCCTTCTCTTACTTGGTCACATTCTCTTTGCTGATGGAACATTTCCATATTGCCCCTGTGACAGCGGCTAACCGTTCTTTATTGTCAGTCTTATTGAGTAGACTGGCCAAGGGTTTAAGTCCTCCATGCAGCCTAACGAGGTCTCGGGTTTCCTCATCTTCAGCACACTGCACAGAAAGTCAAATCAGAGGCTGTCGGTGATCAAGGAATATCAAGCTTTCAATGATTGCTAAAAAGGCTGCCATTCTAGTAGCTATGAAACTTCTTTCCAGAGAGATCATTTTCTGAAGGTGCCTCAAAGTAAAATATATTTCATCTCTCTACTGGTAGGTTTCTGACAGTATGTCTCTCTCCTTAAGTGGCTTTGGGAATAGATAGCAGTTTATACATACTTGGCAATTCTCCCAAACCAGTTTTGAAATAGCCTGGGCATCTCCTGAGGAAAAGGTCAGTGAGAAACCTACAACTCCACATGGAGGGATAGAGGATTTCTGCAGCGATGCAACTCAGAATTTTGGGGAAACGTAGAAGAGAAGACAGATTAGTGATAGGGATTTGGTCAGCTCTTCAATGGCCCCTGAAATCTAGAGACAAATGTATTTTCTTTCCTTTTCTTTTTTTTTTTTTTGAGACAGAGTCTCGCTCTGTTGACCAAGCTGGAGGGCAGTGGCATGATCATGGCTCACTACAACCTCCACCTCCTGGGTTCAAGTGATTAGAGACAAAGAATTTCTCCAAGTCTCCATGCCCAGAGCAGTGGATGATATCAATAGTACCTGACATTTTATTCAAATATGCTTATCCATGTTTGTGTCATCCTTTGAAATAAACCTTTACTGCACAGATGGTCTCAATGGATCATTCTTCCTGGGCTCTAGAGATGATACAGATGTATCATTAACAGATGATACAGTTAGCAGAGACTTGGCTATTACCCCAAGTGCACAGTTGTTTCTTGATGTCATGTGGTGTAGATATGTGTCATGCACCACCCATGGAGGCCATGGAAGAAATCCTCATCACAATGCACCACATAGGTACCTGCCATGTTTATCTTCTGCATGTGATTTTCAATTCTGGATTAGAGGCATCTTCTAAAAATGAATCCCTATTTCTAATCAACTCAATGGTTACTCCAGTGAGGCATATATACAAGTCAGGGCTATATACCATTGTTATGGGCCAAATTGTGTCCCCTCAAAATTTATATATGGAAGTTTTTTGTTTTTTAGATGGAGTCTGTCTGTTGCCCAGGCTAGAGTACACTGGCACAATCTCAGCTCACTGCAACCTCTACCTCCTGGGTTCCAGCGATTCTCATGCCTCCACCTCTGGAGTAGCTGGGATTACAAGTGTGCACCACCACACCCAGCTAATTGTTTTTGTATTTTTAGTAGAGACAGGGTTTTGCCATGTTGGCCAGGCTGTTCTCAAACTCCTGACTTCAGGTGATCCAGCCACCTTGGCCTCCCAAAATGCTGGGATTACAAGTGTGAGCCATTGCGCCCAGCCCATATATTGAAGTCTTAATTACCAGTGCCTCAGAATGTGACTGTATTTGGAGACAGAGCTTTTAAAGAGGTCATTCAGGCTAAATGACCTTTTAAAAATTACTTGGGAGGGCCCTGCTCCAACAGGACTGCAGTCCAAGAGGAGACGAGGACACCGGCGTACACCCAGGAGAGATGGTGGGAGGACGCAAGCTGAGGAGAGAGGCCTCAGAAGAAACTACCTCTAGTCTCAGAATTATAGTCTCCAGGGCTGCGAAGAAATAAATTTCAGCTGCTCAAGCCACCCAGTCTGTGGTATCTTGTTATGAAATGAATCCCTTGATCCTTTTGTTGTTGTTGTTGTTGGCTTGTTTGTTTTTGAGACAGAGTCTCACTGTCACCCAGGCTGGAGAGCAGTGATGCAATCTCGGCTCACTGCAACCTCCAACTCCCAGGTTCAAGCCATTCTCCTACCTAAGCCTCTTGAGTAGCAGAGATTACAGGCACATGCCACCATGCCCAGCTAATTTTTGTATTTTTAGTAGAGATGGGATTCACTATGTTGGCCAGGATCATCTTGAACCCCTGATCTCCAGTGATCTGCCTGCCTTGGCCTCTCAAAGGCATTACAGGTGTTGGGATTCCAGGTGTGAGCCACTGTGCCCGGCCCCTTGTATCTTTTTGACATACTCTCTGACTACACATCTTAAGTGCATTCCTCTAGCAAATCTTCTCTGATTAGGTAGAAGCTAATGTGCACAGTAACCAGCCATTCACTACCTTGTCAAGGCCATTTTTCTCCCTTTACCATTCTAATCTGTTTTCTGGTATACTATGAAATGTATAATACACAAAAAGTTAGTGTAGACTACAGTAAGTAAACCAGTAAAAAGATAAACCAGAAACACACACACACCCATTCCTCTGGCTAGTCTTGGTAGGAGATAAATGTCCCAAGGTTATTTGAACAGGATATATTAAAAGCAATATAGAAGCACCCATGTACTTATTTATCTACTTTATACTAAGTACGTGATTTTAGGAAACAAAGATGCATAAATGTCTTCTAGAAACAGTCACAGATGTCAAAGCAGGTTTCTCTGACCTATACAGCGTATCTCTCATTACCACCGGACAGTGGTTCTTAGACCTAACTGTGTATGAAAATCCAATACGGTACTTGTTAAAAATGCAGACTGGGTACAGTGGCTTATGCCTGAAATCCCAGCACTTTGGGAGGCTGAGGAGGGAGGACCACTTGAAGCCAGGAGTTCGAGACCAGCCTGGGCAGCATAGTGAGGCCACTGTCTCTGAAAAAACAAAAAAATAAAGAATATTAGCCAGGCATGGTGGTAAATGGCTGAAGTGCCAGCTTCTTGGGAGGCAGATATGCGAGGATCACTTCAGCCTGGGAGATTGCAGTTACAGTAAGCTATGATTGTGCCATTGTCCTCCAGCCTGGACAACAGAACAAGACCCTATCTCTAAAAAAAAAAAAAAAAAAAAAAAAATTAAAAATTAAAATAAATAAATAAAATGCAGATTCCTGAGTCCCATTCTCACCGGAGGAAACCACATGGTTAGAAAACTGCCTTAAACAATGTGAGAAAGAGTGCCCACACCTGCTAGAGAGTTCATCGCACCTGGTAAATGGCCATGGCGCAGTGCTCCTGCAGCTGCTCGTTCTGACTACTTAGGTTCTTCACAAGGCTTTCAATGATCCTTCCTGCTTTGATTGCAGCCCGGTAGTTTTCCTAGGAATAAAAACCCACATATTTATGTGTCTAAGGCACAAATAGAAGTATCTGTTTACATTTATGAATAAACATGCTGAACAAACTTTCTTAGGAAATAATCACCCAAGTTCTAGCTTGACATATCCCCACATCAATAAGAGAATCGACTGAGTAATATATATGTATGTGTGTGTATATATACATATATATAGTGTGTATATATGAATATCAGCATATATATGTGATTATATATAAAATGTCAGTATATATATGACATATGTATATATATATGTCACTGTTCTATCAACTGATAGGACACTGATTAAATCAGTACCTGTGAGATATATATATATATATAAAATATACAGTAATCAGTACACAGGTGCTGATTAAATCAGTCATTAGATCAGTACCTGTGTGATATATATATATACCTGTGTGATATATAGCTATATATAGTACCTGTGATATAGGTATATAGTATAATAGATATATGTGTATATATATAGAGAGAGAGAGAGCATACACAGTAATCAGTACGCAGGTACTGATTCAACTAGTGTCCTATCAGTTGGATCTCTCTTTCCCATAGGATGCTGACTTCTTGGGGAAAAAAAAAAAACTCCTTGAGCCATCATGATAACCTTAAAAACAATTTTTGGACTAAAGAAAGTCAAGCTGAGAAGTCAAGGGAAGCAGAACCAGCGTGAGTACCTCTGATGCACATTCTTGCAACGTTCCCACCACTGGAATTAGCATGTTTTCATGAGGAGTCTTCAGCAGCTGGGCCAGCAGAGGAAAGCCCCCCGCTTTGCGCATGGCTTCTTTATTCGCATGACTCTTACTGCAGCTCCACAGGGCCAGTGCCCCGCAGCGAGCCACTTCCACATCTCTGGCCTCATACAGGCTCAGCTGGGCGGGTTCTGTGGAATCATGTGCACAGTCTAGTAGAGCAACCTACAAGAATAGATAAATCCAGTGTTCATGGAAATCTTTAAAACCTTAGGCATTCTTCTATAGCTACCAAGGTTGCTTACTAAACTCACCTCCATCAAAAACAAGAACATTTAAAAAAATCAATTTTCATACTTCATGGCAGCCAGGGAAAGCAAACAACACCCTACAAAAAAATCTTCCTTCGGCTTAGGGAGCTTATACATTTCCTTTTCCTGAGAAATGTAAGCCCACCAAGATAGTATTTTCTTAACGTGGTTCTAATATTTACATCGATAATATTTGTAAACCACATCCTCAGCCCAAACATCTCAAAAAACTAGCCTCCCCAAACATTAGCCCCTTCTAAGGAAAACCGAATGGACTTTATACTCTTAAAGCCACAAGACCTGACCAGGAACAGTGGCTCATGCCTGTAATCCCAACACTCTAGGAGGCCGAAGTGGGAGGATCACTTGAGGCCAGGAATTAGAGATCAGCCTGGACAACAGAACAAGATCAAGATCCTATTTCTAACCAAAAAAAAAAAAAAAAAAAAAAGCTGGATGTGGTGGTGCACACCTGTAGAGCCAGCTACTCCAGAGGCAGAGGTGAGGTGGGAGGATTGTTTGGGCCCAGGAGTTCAAGCCTGCAGTGAGTTGTGATCACTCCACTGTACTCCAGCCTGGGCAACAAAGCAAGACCCTGCCTCAAAAAAAAAAAAAAAACAACCCAGGAAACAAAAACCATAAAACCTCTTTGGAGGACACAGCCTTCCTCATGTGCTACTGAAGCCAACCAAACCAAACAACACAACTGCCAGCATCCATTTTTTTTCTTTGAAATAACTAAAGTCACTGAAGATCTTAAGGGAAAGGCAATTTACTATATATAAGGATTAAGCGGGATGTCAGGTTGCCCCATGGAGGAAGGGAAACCAGACCTCCTGAGAGCTGCGATTTGCTGTCAGCCACCTTGCAGGTTCACTGTCTCTGTCTGGGGCTTAGGAGACATCATCTATGCATGTCTACCCCATTCTTCTCTCCCTGACGGTCAAATTCCACAGATACTGCCCATAACCACCAATCTCAAATTTAGAAGGGAGTAATAGCCCAGGCTAAGTAGAGTCTCTCAATCCCAATTCCAAGTTCCTAGGAGAGAGATCCAGTGGGACTGGCTTGAATCAGGTGGACAGTCCTGGTCTAATTAGATATGGACCGAGGAAAAATGGGGAGGAGGGAATGGAGGCTTCCAGGTGCTGACTGCAGGTGGGATAGCCATGTGGGAGAAATTTGAAGACCCTGGGATTGAACACAGATGCACAACAACAAATGATGTGGCATGGAAGTGCTCAGAAAGCCCATAGCATTTGTGACTGTTTTGGAACTGCCTGGTGGTTAGGAGATGCTCCTCACAATCTTTGCCTTGCGAAAATTTATTCCTTGATTTAACCCACTGCCACCATGACCAGCACTATTGGCTGATTCACCAAAGACTGGTTAAATAATTGTCTTACTTGTTTTAATTAATCTTTCTTAAATGTGTGTATAAGTCATAGTTATTTCCATTTTTAATGTTGGCAGTGTTGAGGTCTTCATTTAGAAGTCATACTTTTGTGACCAGAAATATGCCATAGGAACTTAATTCTTGTTTATTTCAGTAAGTCTGGAGGAAAACTGGTTTTGTTACATGTGTTTTGCTTAAAGTCACAATTTTTGAGAACCTGCTGATGATATTAAATGAGGACTTACTGTACTAGATTCCTGATGTGATGCATAAAACATATTTAAATTTTATGTTACATTATCCATTATTACAGTTTAATGGGCGTGGTGTCAGGAGACAGTCACATCAACCTGCCAAATTATTTCATTATTTAAGCAGAATAATGATAATCATAGTAATAATTACATTTTCTCTGGCATTTTTAATGAAAATTTTCAAACAGAAAATCTTCAAGAATTTTACAGTGATTGCACAACAGACTTCCCTACATCCACCACCTAGAGTCTGTAATTAACATTCTGCCACTTTCATTTTATTACGTATCTCACCAACTATTCATGCATCTATCCAGTCATGATTCTATCTTATTTTTGAAACTAATACATTTATAATGCTCTAAAGATGACAAGTGAAAACACAGAATGTCTTTTGGCAAATTTCTGAACACATTTCTCAGTGTACATATTTACATTAAAATCCATATTCACCCTTACGTGAATTATGCATTAACCCTTAATATGGGTAAGGAACTGGGCTACGTGCTCTGAAAGGCACAAGGATGAATAAGGCCTGTCACTTAAAGTGCAGAAGTGGAAACAATACAGTAAGATAACAGTTCTGGGGGAGACACAGAGCTAATGATCCTTATTAAGGAGGTGAAAACATGTTTACTTTTTAAAAGCCTTTCCTAATGATGGCAAAGGTGGTAAGCAGGATTCTGGTATTTTTATTTTGATGCTAGCTATTGAGAAAATTACTTTTTCTGATTATAAGAGCAAGACTTAGAAATAGAAGACAAATTGGCAAATGTAGAAAAGTAGGCAGAAAAATTAGTCATCACTTCAGAGAAAACCCTTGAGAGCAATGTGTGTGTTTATTTCTAATGCTTATTTCTAAAAATTGGGATCATAGATAGCAACAGTTTTTAATCCTGCCATGATTTTATACAATATTAAATATTATGCACTTTATTTCTTGCTATTAAATATACATTCAAGCTGGGTGTGGTGGCTCACAACTGTAATCCCAGGACTTTGGGAGGGCAAGGTGAGTGGATTGCATGAGCTCTTGAGTTCGAGACCAGACTGACTAACACAGTGAAATCCTGTCTCTACTAAAAATATGAAAATTAGCCAGGCTCGGTGGCATGCGCCTGTAGTCTCAGCTACTTGGGAGGCTGAGACAGAAAAATTCCTTGAATCTGGGAGGCAGAGGTTGCACTGAGCTGAGATCACACCACTGCACTCTAGCCTGGGTGACAGAGAGAGACTCCATCTCAAAATAATAAATAAATAAATTTTCAACACAATAGTGATAGCTGTCTCAGTGGATATTTCTTGTGGATACACTGCAGACCATTTTACTGAGCACATACTGCTAAACACCCAGGCTGTTTTCAGCTCTCAGTCTTCTAACAATGAGATGAACAAGAGCCTGCAGCTCGGACTGTCCACTTGGAAGAGCATTTTCCCAGTAAGGTCACCACATTAGAGGCCGTGGGCCACCAGTAAGACTTACACATAAAAGGCAAATTGTCAAATGCAGAAAAATAGGAAGAAAAATCAGTCATCACTTCCGAGAACAATTTGTTTGTGTTTATTTCTAGTGGATTTGCTCTCTATAATAGTGGGTAGATCTTTACAGTCTATTGGTGGCATCATAGGCTGGGCATGGTGGCTCATGCCTGTAATCCCAACACTTTGGGAAGCCAAGGTAGGTGGATTATTTGTGGTCAGGAGTTTGAGACCAGCCTGGCTAACATGGTGAAATCCTATCTCTACTAAAAATACAGAAATTAGCCAGGCACAGTGGCAGGTGCCTGTAATCCCAGCTACTTGGGAGTCTGAGGCAGGAGAATCGCTTGAACTTGGGAAGCAGAGGTTGCAATGAGCCAAAATCGCACCACTGCACTCTAGCCTGAGCAACAGAAATGAGATCCTGCTTGAAAAAAAAAAAAAAAAAATGGCATCATAGATGTCAACAGCTTTTCAAGTTATAAAGCTTTTGATGTTTTAAAGTTTTCAGCTTTCCACCGAGCAGCAGTTTTCAGCTTTGCATTCTTACATCTATACATGAATCTATACATGAATGCATCCCTACCAATAGGTGGTGACCATTACATCTGCTTTAAACATTTTCTATTTCTTTGAAAAATGAGTTTGAACATTTTTTATTTTGGACACTCAGTAATATAAATATGCAAAAATAATTTTCAAGGACAAGTGATACAGACAGAAGGCTCCTAGAACACGCTCTCATGGCTATGGAATGTCCAGCATGGCCAGGAAGGACAGCAAGGAGCTGTGTGTGGTGCAGCTGGCGCTCGATGGCAATCATGACGTCAGGGCTACTCACCAGTTTGGTGATCCCCCCATACTGCCTCACCACCCGCCGTGCTCTTGTAAACTTGGCGACATTCGCGATGGTCTCAGCTGCCAAACACTTTAGACTCTTGTGTGGAGAATCAAGTATATTCACCATAATTGGTAAGCCCCCAAGGTCAACAATATTACGTCTGATTTGCGGATTATGACTGATTTCCTTCAGTATTTTTAATGAACCAATCTGTGTGAGAAAAAAAGAAAAAAGAGTGGTGAATATGTAACCCATGCTATGTTTTTAAAAATTCCGAGTCTACATAAAATCCTTCCCCAGTTAAGTTTTTTAAGAAATAGTTTCCATTCCCAGAGGTTACACACATCCTGCATATTCTCTCATTTACGTAAACAATCCTAATTCAGGAAGCATGAGAGACGAATGGAGAAGAGCAAAAGAAAGAAGAAAAGCAGAGAAAAGACAAAGCGCAGTGAACAGAATTAGCAGGTCATCAGCAGTAACAGCAGATAAAGACAAGAACCAGGCAGCAAAGGAATGGCTGACACCTAGAGCTAAGAAGAGAGCCCCAGGAAGGTGGAACAAGACTCCACATCCGGAGGACTCAAGATGGCGCTGTGAGAACAACCCAGGATTGGAGCTCTCGTTGAATCCGCAAAGAGGTGAGTTGGAGTTGCATTTCCAGACTGATCTTTGTTGCCCACAGAACGGGGAAACTCCCAAGTATAAAAAAGACACGGGACGCCAGGCAGTAAGTCTGCCTGGTGAAGCCGGCAGCCGGGGCGGTGGCGGCCGGCCCTACCCAGCAGTCCCCACAGGGCGCACTTGTCCAGGTGCCCTGTTGAACCGGCAACCTGAGACTTGAGAGGGCTGGACTTGAGACTGAACGAGACTTGGACAGTAGGCCAGCCCAGGGGATTGCAGGGACAGAGCGTTCAGGGTACCCAGTGGGACGAACAAAACCGCGATTTCAAACTATCCCGAGCAGACGGTCCAAGATGCTCTGTGGGGGAGGGGCGTCCACCACTACTGAGGCAACCCGCCCCAACTGAGATACACGCCCACTGCAGACACAGCCTCCCGTTGCCGAGGCAACCCGTCCCTACTGAGATACACGCCCACTGCTGAGGCAGCCTGCCGTTGCCGAGGCAACACGCTACAATGAAGAGACTCCGCCGCAGGGCATGGCGGAGACCACAGCAGAGCCTGCAGGAACAGGGCGAATCACACAACAGCAGGGCGGAGACTCGGCAGGCAAACAGTGGCTAGTCTGCCCCCTAGCTGGGCAGGACACCTCAATGGACATCGAAAAATAAAGCCCGAACCCCCCAACACAGAGCATTTGAGAAAAAAAGGGTTTTTTTAATGAGCTCTGTTGCAGCAGAATCAAACATAGCAGCCTAACAGCCCTGAATGAACAACAGAGCTCACAGCTCGGAAATTGAGCTCCTAAAAAGAACAGACTGTCTCCTCAAGCAGCTCCCTGACCCCTCTATATCCAAAAGACTGACATTTGGCAGGCATCATCCTGGGACAAAGATAGCAGAAAAAGAAACGGGTAGCATCCCTCACTGTGCCACAGCTGCTAGAGGTGCACCCCAGACAAGCAGGGCCTGGAGTGGACCTCAGCAGTCGTACAGCAAAGGGGCTAGGCTGGTAGAAGGAAAACCAAGTAACAGAAAGACTTCATCATCAACAATCTGGGTGTCCACTCAGAGACCCAATCGAAAAGTCAGCAACTACGCAGACGACAAGCGGATAAACCCACAAAGATGGGAAGAAACCAGCGAAAAAAGGAGGAAAACACCCGAAACCAGAACACCTCGCCTCCTAGAAAGGACCAAAACTCCTCACCAGCAAGGGAACAAAGCTGGATGGAGAATGACTGTGACAAAATGACGGAATTAGACTTCAGAAGGTGGATAATGAGAAACTTTTGTGAGCTAAAAGAACATGTATTAAATCAATGCAAAGAAACTAAGGAACTTAAAAAAAGATATGAGGAAATGATAACAAGAATGGGTAACCTAGAGAGGAATATGAATGAATTAAAGGAGCTGAAAAACACAATATGAGAACTTCGCGAAGCATGCACAAGTTTCAATAGCCGAATTGACCAAGCAGAAGAAAGAATATCTGAAGTCGAAGACCAACTCAATGAAATAAAATGAGAAACCAAGATTAGAGAAAAAAGCGCAAAAAGAAATGAACAAAGTCTCCAAGAAATGTGGGACTATGTGAAAAGACCTAACCTACGTTTGATAGGTGTACCAGAAGGGGACGAAGAGAATGAATCCAAGCTGGAAAATACTCTTCAGGACATCATCCAGGAAAACTTCCCCCACCTAGCAAGACAGGCCAACACTCAAATGCAGGAAATACAGAGAACACCACAAAGATATTCTGCAAGAAGAGCAACCCCAAGGCACATAATCGTCAGATTCAACAAGGTTGAAATAAAGGAGAAAATACTAAGGGCAGCCAGAGAGAAAGGTCGAGTTACCCACAAAGGGAAGCCCATCAGACTCACAGCAGATCTCTCAGCAGAAACACTACAAGCCAGAAGAGAGTGGGGCCAATATTCAACATTTTTAAAGAAAAGAACTTTCAACCCAGAATTTCATATCCAGCCAAACTGAGCTTCAGAAGTGAAGGAAAAATAAAATCCTTTGCGAACAAGCAAGTACTCAGAGATTTTGTCACCACCAGGCCTGCTTTACAAGAGCTCCTAAAAGAGGCACTACACATAGAAAGGAACAACCAGTACCAGGCATTCCAAAATCACACTAAATGCTAAAGAGCATCAACATAATGAAGAATCTACAACAACTAACAGGCAAAACAGCCACTTAGAATCAAAATGGCAGTATCAAATTCACACATAACAACATTAACCCTAAATGTAAATGGACTAAATGCACCAATCAAAAGACACAGACTGGCAAATTGGATAAAAATCCAAAACACATCAGTGTGCTGTATCCAGGAAACCGATCTCACATGCAAGGATACACAAAGTCTCAAAATAAAGGGATGGAGGAAGATTTACCAAGCAAATGGAGAGCAAAAAAAAGCAGGAGTTGCAATTCTCATCTCTGATAAAATAGACTTTAAAGCAACAAAGATCAAAAGAGACAAAGAAGGCCATTACATAATGGTAAAAGGATTGATAAAACAAGAAGAGCTAACGATTCTAAACATATATGGACCCAATGCAGGAGCACCCAGATACATAAGGCAAGTTCTTAATGACTTACAAAGAGACTTAGACTCCCACACAATAATAGTGGGAGACTTTAACACTCCACTGTCAATATTAGATAGATCAACCAGACAGAAAATCAACAAGGATATCCAGGGCTTGAACTCAGACCTGGAGCAAGCAAACCTGATAGACATTTACAGAACTCTCCACCCCAAATCCACAGAATATACATTCTTCTCAGCACCACATCACACCTACTCAAAAATTGACCACATAATTGGAAGTAAAGCACTGCTCAACAAATGCAAAACAACTGAAATCATAACAAACAGCCTCTCAGACCATAGTGCAATCAAGTTAGAACTCAGAATACAGAAACCAACCCAGAACCGCACAGCTTCATGGAAACTGAACAACTGGCTCTTGAATGTTGACTGGGTAAACAATGAAATGAAGTCAGAAATAAAGAAGTTCTTCGAAACCAATGAGAACGAAGACACAACATGCCAGAACCTCTGGGACACATTTAAAGCAGTCTCTAGAGGAAAGTATATAGCAATAAGTGCCCATATGAGGAGAATGGAGAGATCCAAAATTGACACCCTATCGTCAAAATTGAAAGAGCTAGAGGAGCAAGATCAAAAAAACTCAAAACCCAGCAGAAGACAAGAAATAACTAAGATCAGAGCTGAACTGAAGGAGATTGAGACACGAAAAACCCTTCAAAAAATCAATAAATCCAAGAGCTGGTTTTTTGAAAAGATCAACAAAATAGACAGACCACTAGCCAGATTGATTAAAAAGAAAAGAGAGAACAACCAAATAGATGCAATAAAAAATGATAAAGGGGAAATCACCACAGATTCCACAGAAATTCAAACCATCATCAGAGAATATTACAAACAACTCTATGCACATAAACTAGTAAACCTGGAAGAAATGGATAAATTCCTGGACTCCTGCATTCTCCCAAGCCTAAACCAGGAGGAAGCTAAAACTATGAATAGACCAATAACAAGGTCAGAAGTCGAGGTAGCAATTAAGAGCCTACCACACAAAAAAAGCCCAGGTCCAGACGGGTTCACAGCCAAATTCTACCAGACACACAAAGAGGAGCTGGTACCATTCCTTCTAAAACTATTTCAAACAATCCAAAAAGAGGGAATACTTGCCAAATCATTTTACGAGACCAATATCATTCTGATACCAAAACCCGGCAGAGACCCAACAAGAAAAGAAAACTTCAGGCCAATATCCATGATGAACATAGATGCAAAAATCTTCAATAAAATATTGGCAAGCCGAATGCAACAGCAAATCAAAAAAACTTATTCACCATGATCAAGTAGGATTCATCCCGGGGATACAAGGCTGGTTCAACATACGCAAGTCTATAAATGTAATTCACCACATAAACAGAACCAAAAACAAAAACCACATGATTATCTCAATTGACGCAGAGAAGGCATTTGACAAAATTCAACAGCCCCTTATGCTAAAAACCCTCAATAAACTCGGTATCGATGGAACGTATCTCAAAGTAATAAAAGCTATTTATGACAAACCAACAGCCAATATCATACTGAATGGGCAAAAACTGGAAGCATTCCCTTTGAAATCTGGCACTAGACAAGGATGCCCTCTTTCACCACTCCTATTCAATATAGTTCTGGAAGTTCTAGCCAGAGCAATCAGGCAAGAAAAAGAAATAAAGGGTATTCAAATAGGAAAGGTGGAAGCCAAATTGTCTCTATTTGCAGACGACATGATAGTATATCTAGAAGACCCCATCACCTCAGCCCAAAAACTCCTGAAACTGATAAGCAACTTCAGCAAAGTCTCAGGATATAAAATCAATGTGCAAAAATCACAAGCATTCGTCTACACCAATAACAGACTTAAAGAAAGCCAAATCAAGAACGAACTGCCATTCACAATTGCTACAAAAAGAATAAAATACCTTGGAATACAACTCACAAGGAACGTAAGGGACCTCTTCAAGGAGAACTACAAACCACTGCCCAATGAAATCAGAGAGGACACAAACAGATGGAGAAACATTCCATGTTCATGGTTAGGAAGAATTAACATCGTGAAAATGGCTATACTGCCCAAAGTAATTTACAGAATCAACGCTATCCCCATCAAGCTACCATTGACTTTCTTCACAGAACTGGAAAAAACCACCATGAACTTCATATGGAACCAAAAGAGAGCCCGCATAGCCAAGTCAATTCTAAGCAAAAAGAACACAGCGGGGGACATCACACTACCGGATTTCAAACTATACTACAAGGCTACAGTACTCAAAACAGCATGGTACTGGTACCGAAACAGAGATATAGACCAATGGAACAAAACAGAGGCACCGGAGGCAACACAACATATCTACAACGATACAATCTTTGATAAACCTGACAAAAACAAGCAAGGGGGAAAGGATTCCCTGTTTAACAAATGGTGTTGGGAAAACTGGCTAGCCATGTGCAGAAAGCAGAAACTGGACCCCTTCCTGACACCTTACACTAAAATTAACTCCAGATGGATTAAAGACTTAAACATAAGACCTGGCACCATAAAAACCCTAGAAGGAAATCTAGGCAAAAATATCCAGGACATAGGAGTAGGCAAGGACTTCATGAACAAAACACCAAAAGCATTGGCAACAAAAGCCAAAATAGACAAATGGGACCTAATGAAACTGCACAGCTTCTGCACGGCAAAAGAAACAGTCACTAGAGTGGATCGGCAACCAACAGAATGGGAAAAAATATTTGCAGTTTACCTATCTGACAAACGGCTGATATCCACAATTTACAAAGAACTCAAACGGATTTACAGGAAAAAAACAAACAAGCCCATTCAAAAGTGGGCAAAGGATATGAACAGACACTTTACGAAAGAAGACATATATGAGGCCAACAATCATATGAAAAAATGCTCATCGTCACTGGTCATCAGAGAGATGCAAATCAAAACCACATTGAGATACCATCTCACGCCAGTTAGAATGGCGATGATTAAAAAATCTGGAGACAACAGATGCTGGAGAGGATGTGGAGAAAAAGGAACACTTTTACACTGTTGGTGGGAGTGTAAATTAGTTCAACCATTGTGGAAGACAGTGTGGCGATTCCTCAAGGCCTTAGAAATAGAAATTCCATTTGACCCAGCAATCCCATTACTGGGTATATATCCAAAAGACTATAAATCGTTCTACTATAAGGACACATGTACACGAATGTTCATTGCAGCACTGTTTACAATAGCAAAGACCTGGAATCAACCAACATGCCCATTGATAATAGATTGGATTGGAAAAATGTGGCACATATACACCATGGAATATTATGCAGCAATCAGAAATGATGAGTTCGTGTCGTTTGTAGGGACATGGATGAATCTGGAGAACGTCATCCTCAGCAAACTGACACAAGAACAGAAAATGAAACACCGCATATTCTCACTCATAGGCGGGTGATGAAAAATGAGAACACATGGACACAGAAAGGGGAGTACTAAACACTGGGGTCTATTGGGGGGAAAAGGGGAGGGCCAGTGGGAGGGGGAGGTGGGGAAGGATAGCCTGGGGAGAAATGCCAAATGTGGGTGAAGGGGAGAAGGAAAGAAAAGCACACTGCCATGTGTGTTCCTACACAACTGTCTTGCATGCTCTGCTCATGTACCCCAAAACCTAAAATCCAATAAAAAATTTAAAAAAAAAAAAAAAAGACTCCACATCCATTGTGACAGAGCCACTTACCTTACATTTGACTTCATCAGTTTCAAGCAAATTTATCAGCACTTCCAGGCCTCCAACATCTCTGATGGCCAACTGGCAGGTTTCTTGAGCTAAGTTGAAATCCCTCATTGAACACAACGCAATCACTGTAGCTGTCTGATTTCCTCCCTATAAAGATGCAATACCAGAGAAAGGTTAAGTAAGACCATGGTCCCATAGAAATGCACTAAATAGTTATGAATCCATGAACTAGGAAACGTGTCTCTGAGTGGGCTAGAATTTGTTAAATGGATCAGGTAGAGTTAAAGCATGGAAAAGCCGTACAGAGCATCGTAAAACATTTTTCCAATTAAGAGTCAACATTAAAGGTGGGCTGTCTCCTTTAAACAGTCATAACATCGGGCAGTATTCATCTATTAAAGAGAGTCATGGGGCCAGCCTTGAGAGGCTGACTGCGGAATGGAAGATGTACATGGAGCTAAGAGATAGTCCCCCCAATTCTTGAACAGGGTATTGCATGATGCAAAGTATGTCTGAAAATTATTCCTACAGATGTGCATAGAACACCCTGAAATAAGGAGAACCCAGAGAAAAGGAAACCATGCAGGAAGCAGCACTGCAACCCATACTGAAACCTAGAGTAGGTGGTGTGAGGGACGTGGAGTTGGGAAAAGAGAAGCAATTCCAATCGGTTCTGGAAATCAATGGGATGGGCAGGACAAAGAAGAAAGCGGCCGAGCGCGGTGGCTCACGCCTATAATACCAGCACTTTGGGAGGCTGAGGCGGGTGGATCATGAGGTCAAGAGATCGAGACCATCCTGGTCAACATGGTGAAACCCCATCTCTACTAAAAATACAAAAAATTAGCTGGGCATGGTGGCACATGCCTGTAATCCCAGCTACTCAGGAGGCTGAGGCAGGAGAATTGCCTGAACCCAGGAGGTGGAGGTTGCTGAGATCACGCCGTTGCATTCCAGCCTGGGTAACAAGAGCGAAACTGCGTCTCAAAAACAAAAAAAAGAAGAGAGAAAGCATCAATGTGGTGAGCAAAATCCTGGTCCAACACAGAGAGTCTTGCAAGCCAATGTCTTCTTGGTGAATCACTATATGTAAAGAGTAGTGGTGAGATGCTCCTTCAGGATTCAAAAAATGAAAAAAATCTGAAAGATTAAAACTAAAACAGAATGATTGACCAGGGAACCGGATCTGCCAGGAGATTAAAATCAGAATTCACTGCAGGAATTCTTAGAGAATGTCCATGGGTCATTTCTGCTTTGAAAATCTTCTAAGGAGTAGCACATATTATTGCTACTGCTATTCAGCTGGCTGATAAACAGGAGTTCTGACATCAGCACTGAAGTAGCTCATCACACACAAAAGCAAGACTGCTGCTCATTTTTGCAAAAGGTGTTGGTAATAGACAAGCCTTTGATTCCTGCTTCAAAACGTAGTAATGATGTTTAAAGGGAATACACCTTCAAATTATGTTTATTTCCATTTATTAAGCATTACAATATACTGCCATTATTTATCTGTATATATATAATTATGTATATAAATAGATTAGATATACATAGTAAATAAGGTAAACATCCATTTTATAAATTTATACATTATCTATTATCCATTATATATTTTATAATTTTAAAATATACATTTGAATATATAAAATATACATTATGTTTACATATAAATTTAACATTTTAAATACATTACACATAATAAATATAAATATAAAAATGTAACATTGAGATACCATCTCATGCCAGTTAGAATAGCTATCATTAAAAAATCAGGACACAACAGATGCTGGAGAGGATGTGGAGAAATAGGAACGCTTTTACACTGTTGGTGGGAGTGTAAATTAGTTCAACCATTGTGGAAGACAGTGTGGCGATTCCTCAAGGACCTAGAAATAGAAATTCCATTTGACCCAGCAATCCCATTACTGGATGTATACTCAAAGCAATTATAAATAATTCTATTATAAAGACACATGAACATGTATGTTTCTTGTGGCACTGTTCACAATAGCAAAGATTTGGAACCAACCCAAATGCCCATCAGTGATAGACTGGATAAAGAAAATGCAGCATACACACACACACACACACACACACACACACACACACACTATGGAATACTATGCAGCCATAAAAAAGGGTGAGTTCATGCCATTTGCAAGGACATGGATAAAGCTGGAAACCATCATTCTCAGCAAACTGACCCAAAAACAAAAAATCAAACACCACATATTCTCACTTATAAGTGGGTGTTGAGCAATGAGAACACATAGATATGGGGAGGGGAGGAACATCACGCACTGGGGCCTGTTGGGGGGTGGGGGATAATGGAGGGATAGAAAGGGGTGGGGTGATAGGGAAGTGATAGCATTAGGAGAAATACCTAACGTAGATAACAGGGTGATGGATGCAGTAAACCATCATGGCATGTGTATACCTACATAACAAACCTGCACATTCTACACATGTACCCCAGAACTTAAAATATAATAAAAAAAGACAAAAAAGTATATTTCTATATATAAAATAGATAATATATAATAGGCTTAGCACGGACCATGAAAATTATATACCAGCTGCAAACTCCCTTCTCCCTAGCACAAGCTTGTGCATACACAAATCTTCTTGTGAATTCAATACAATAGGTTATTTTTTAAAATATTTTTTAATTTATATATAATAGTTGTATGTATTTTGAGACTACATGTAATAATCCTATGTATGTATACAATGTGTAGAGACCAAATCAGGATAATTAAGATATTTATCACCTCACACACTTTTCTTTGTGGTGAGAACTTTATAATTCCTCCCTTCTAGCTATTTTGAAATATACAATAAATTATTCTTAACTATAATTTCTTTACTATAATAGGGAACTTAAACTTAATTGTACTATATCACTGTATTGTTGTACCTCTTAACCAATTTATCTTCATCTCTTCATGTTCATGTCTTATGTATAATAAGGTTAACACAGAAAATGGAAATTACATACAAGCTGCCCAAACCCCTCCTCCTTCATATCACACATGTACACATATGCAGATCCTCTTGTGAATTCAACACAAGACTTTTAGCATAGGAATCAGAAATGGGATTACCAGAGGATCCAACGTGAAAACAGAAAGGTTGAGATGTCAGCCTTTTTTCTTACTCCTTTTAAGAAAATTCTTTCCACGCCTCTAGAAATGTTCTCAACATCTATCCCGTGAAGATGTCACTGACAATTTTCGTTTTCTACATGAATGCTTCCAATGGATGCACCAGGCTGTCCTCTACATTCACAATTTAGAATGACTAGAGCTTCAGTTTTACCATTTACACATAAAATAAGTCATGTTCTTACAGCTTTTAGTGTCTTTTCTTTTCGTTTCTTTTCTTTTTTGAGACAGAGTTTCTCTCTTGTTACCCAGGCTGGAGTGCAATGGCGCAATCTCAGCTCACCATAACCTCCGCCTCCTGGGTTCAGGCAATTCTCCCGCCTCAGCCTCCTGAGTAGCTGGGATTACAGGCATGCGTCATCGTGCCCAGCTAATTTTTTGTATTTTTAGTAGAGATGGGGTTTCACCATGTTGACCAGGATGGTCTCAATCTCTTGACCTCGTGATCCACCCGCCTCGGCCTCCCAATGTGCTGGGATTACAGGCGTGAGCCACCATGCCCAACCCTTTTAGTGTCTTTTCTACTTCCTATCAAGGAGAAAAGTAACCACCACCAATATCACCAATTTTCATACATTGGTTTTGAAATATGAAATTTAAAAATCCTATCTATAACTGTCACGTTCATAAACTCCCATATTTGGGTGCACAAGACTCCTATAAGCCAATACTTCCATTTCCTCTTTAGAAAAACAAAAGGCAGATATTTTATAAGCCATGAAGAAGAATCTAGTCTGAGTGTGCAGGCATGCACCTGTAATCCCAGCTACTCGGAAGGCTGAGGTAGGAGGACTGCTTGAGCCTAGGAGTTGGAGGCTGCAGTGAGCTTTGATCACACCACTACACTCAAGGCTGGGCAACACAGTGAGACCCTGTCTCTAGAAACACATTTTTTTAACATAATAATAAAGGAGACTCTAAATGCTAACCACAATTAAAGGAAATTAAATCATGCACAAAAAGAAAGAACAAAGAAAATAAGAAAAACAATTCATTTGAACGAAGCTCATTTTTTTCTGAATTTAAAGGTTAAAAGGAGCCAGAATCCTCCCCAGGAGTGTCTGAAGGAGCAGAGCAGTGTTCCTATATTAAGGGTTTGGAAATCCAAACCAAGTGCTTCAGCTAGAGGAGTTATTTAGGCAGAGGCTTCAGACTTAAGCATGACTAGAAAGTGCAAGAAGACATGGAACAGCGTGTCATGCCTCGGTTAAGCCAAGAGCCTCCTCCCGCCCCAGATCCACTCTGTGAAGAAGAATGTACCATCCTGACATTCTTAATCGTGCATGCTGAGGACTTTCTTGACTGCTATTCTTGCATTATAGTATTTTCTTTGGTAGCAATTTTTGGGCTTATACACTCAGCATAATCTTTGTTTTCTATTTCAAGTTGTCTTAATTTTTCTCTTCTAGGCAATTTCCCCATCTTTTGGGCTTTATTTCATTATTTACACTATAACCAATGACATAAATTCTTAAAGGCCATTTAATTGCAGCAGATGTCCCAAAGGTAAGAGTTCACATTTTTCTGAATTATCTCTAGGCTAATTTGTAACGCAAAAGACTGACAATTTATAGTGATCATCAAGAAGTTAGATACTTAAAGAAAAAAAATTCTGTAAATCAACTTTTTTTCTGAAAATCTGGAAACATATTCATAGGCTTGAGGGATTTTTTGTAGAACAGTTTTATATTAGGGAAAGTTAGTTTTTCCACATTTCAGGATTTAGTTCTACTCTTGTCACTGACCACACTCCCAAAAGGATTATAAATCTTTCAGAATGAATACCAGAGGACAGGAGCCAAAATATTCAACATACAGAGCCACAAAAGTTAGCCAATTGCTATTCTTTAAATACCAGCTATGTCAAAGTATTTTTGAATGTTCGTTCCACTTTGTCCAGATGCCATAAACATCAAACTGAGAAGAAAACGTGCAAACACGCTCCTTTGTCAACTAAATCTCCCCTGAGAATATAATTAG